GGATCCTTCTTTGATTGGCAGAATGTGCAACTTGTTGGCACCTTAATTTCTTCACCTTTTTATGGTATGATGTGATGATGATGGTGCGGTCAAATTTCACAGCTTCATGTTACCACTCAAGCATCATTTAAATCAGCATATTACAGAACTGAATTATGCTTCTTTAATGAATGTTTTCAAATAAGTTATCCATGACTTGCTCAATGCCAACAACATAAAAATATTTTAGTAATTAAAAAAAAAATATATATACTGTAATGTGTGTGTGTGTGTGTCATGAATAAATGTTCTCTGTTTGGCTCAACCTGTAGTTCAATTAATTTGTTAATGGAAAAAAAATCAGTTATTTTAATGATTTAATGTTTCACAATTTAATATTGTGGAACAATGTCAATGGCAACTAAATTATTTTTTTAACATATATTCAAACAGGATACTGTTTTTACCCTGTGTTATTTTTCAGGTTATATAAAGTATGGGAAAAAAATTATGTAAAAAAAATGTTTAGTGTCATGAATTCTTTAGGTATTTGTTTTTAACCTTCATCTGACTTTTCAAGTGTTGTGAACAAGTATTAGTCTTAATTAAGGTTGGTTCCAGCTTGAACATCCAGTGCATCAAAACCCCCCAAGAGGGAGGTTTAGATTTGTGATTTCTTCATTACACCTATTTCACAATAATGCAAAGACCTTTATTTCTCTGAAAGTTCAGAATTATTCTCAATGCAACAAATCTGGGTCTTCAGGTACTGAACGGATCAGACACCGTGGTGTTTTAAATACATTCAGGATCTTTGATAGGATTGTGAAACACAAAGACATTAAACGAAGATGATTTCAACTTTAAACTTTTAACAGCCATGTCATTTCTCATTGTAAGGAATTGAAGCCTGGTTTATGGTAGCAGCCATGTTGTTCCTGAGTGACTGTAGGATGGAGCAGGAGATGGATCGACGGATCGAGGCTTCATCCTCAGTAATAAGGGCGTTGCTTTGGTCGGTTGCTGCTGTGTGTCCAACACATTAAGCTGTAAGGAATTATTAAAGAAAAGTCACATGATGTGAGGGAAGTGGGCGGGGCTCATCCCCCAACAGCTGGTTCCAAAATCAATTCATGCTGGTTTCAACCAGAGGAAGCAAGGTCATGTGGTCTTTGGGGTTTGAGATGGTGTAAAGGTAGGGCCTCTGACTTGAGACCACGAAGTTGCAGGTTCAACTCCCCACCATGTCCACATATCATGGCGTCTTGAGCAAGATACCCAACCCCTAATTGCTCCCCAGGTGCTTACATAGCTACCTACTGGACCACCTGGGTGTATCTCACATGATGGGTTGAATGCAGAGAACTAAATTTGTCATTGTATGGCAGGGGTGCCCAATACATCGATCACGATCTACCAGTCAATTGCAAAGACAATTTCAGTAGCTTGCACGGCGAAATAGACGTCAGACTTTTTTTTTCTTTGAATTTTTTTTTTTTAAATGGACGTCAGCCTGTCAACCCATCTTCACTATGCAATTTGTCACTTTGATTGACATACAGGTTAGCCAATTCGAGACCAACATTTTCTGACTCATAGGTTACCACGCATGTGCAAACAACAGCACCCATGATTGACATATAGGGCAGCCAATCAGAGACCGGATCTTTTCTGACGCATGGGTCACCACGCATGCACACTCAACCACGCAAAAAAACCAAACGAGTTAACTCGTAATAGCCTCCAGTTTATTTCTTCTAATCTAAACTCAAGAAAGTGTGTAAAATGAATTGGGGAGCTGGACCAAGTAAGAAGCAAAAACATATATTATTTCCATACGGAATGGGGGAGGACTTTTTTTTTCACAATGTCAAATTCGAAGTGTGTTTTGCCTCATCTGCAAGTGTACCGGAGCAGCATTTTTGGACTATATTTATAAATACTATGACACTGACTTCCTTCTGAAAAGCGAACTGAGAAAGAAAATGGTGAAGGAACTAAAATCCCAGTTATTTGTACAGCAGTCATTTTTCTTACAGCTGACCACAGCAGCGGCGTATCATTTTGGGTTAATAATTGTTAAGCACAAAAAGTATTTTCAAGACAGAGAGATGGTAAAAGAGGCATTCGTTGAAGCAGCCGACTCGTTGTTCAGAGATTTTAAAAACAAACCAGAAATATTATCTACCATCAAAGCGCTCCAGGTATCAAGAAATATGGTTACAGTTAAAAGCAGATGCTGTCAGGGCTGAATTTTCACTTTTGTTCTCAAATTCTCAGGTTATTTTTCCAAACATGAAGTTATTCTTGTTGTTTTCTGTTCCTTTGTATGAAGAACAGAAGTTATTGCTGGGTTTTGTTTATTATGTTGTACACTGTAAAAATAAATTGTCACTTTTTTTTTAATTTTAAACAAACTTTTGGGTTTTGTCATTTATGTTGCGTTCACAGCGAGCTGGGACTTATTCATCCATTCGACCTTTATTTATCCAGGTTAGTCTCATTGAGTCACAAGGACTCATTTACAAGAGAGATCTGTTTTAGACAGACAACATATACTAAAAATGTAAAACATAAAAAACATACTTAATATGTTTATAATTAAGTATGTGTTCTGTATTTTTATAGTGGGTAGATCACTTTAACTTGGTAATTTTAATAGTAGCTGACATGCTAAAACAAGTGTGGGCACCCCTGTTGTATGGGAACATACAATGATGACAACACAGCACTTTCTTCTTTCATCAATGTCTTAACCACTTCACTGAATATTTAGGTGATAAATGCAGTATATCGCATGTTCTTCCATGATCTAAAATGTGAACAAATCATGCAGTAGTCACTTTATCAGCAGCAGCCAGGAAAATCTGTGTGTTAGAGTATTTTACTCTAACTATTGATCGTTTAAACTTATACTCATTTAAACTGTTCTATAATGCTGTGAAATATTTCTCTACTGACTTGTTGGAAACTCACAGTTCCTGTTTTGATAGAAACTGCCACGTCTATGTTACCTGAAAACCACCAGATCTTGTGTTTCTTGTTTACCATCCCTACTTGCCTGAATGTTTGCCATTCCTACTTGCCTGAATAAAAAAGGAACGCACGCTGAAACAAGTTGGACTTTGTTCTGACTTCGGTTGAACGCTGTCCCTCTTTGCAAAGATACGTTCTAGAAATCTCATTCTTGTCTCCCTTGTGTTTTATTTAAGGTACAGGTAAAACCCTGTCACTGTGTTTTGATGTTATTTGGTGGTTTTGTCTGTGAAAATCGTACATACCGTTTGTGATGGCTGACCTCTGCCCACCTCATTTTACTGCTCAAAGGCAGCACGCAGAACTGTCAAACAGATCATCTGTGTGATTTTTAAATACGCAGGATGCAATATCCATTACAGTTTTGTGAAGGTATTTTATGACAGAGCAACAAAACCCAAAGGAGCTATGGGCTGAAAAGATCTTTCATTATTAATAGAATATTAGCCCACATGAAGGTGGATGACTAAAGGATTGTGTTTCAACACTGCTGGGGCTGTAAAGTGCACAGAGGTTAATTCTCTGATCCAAGGGTAGATTTGTATCATTGTTTGTAGTTTGAGAGGGTTTTTTTCCAGGGGATGGGAATCATGTCTTCTCTCTCTGCTCCTCAGAGCACCGTAGTAGATTGCCTGGTCTGATTAATCTTAATGAATTATGCAAATAGCCTTTATCTCAAATGATTTTGCAATGTTTCTGTATTGTTTTATTAATGCACCTTTGAATTACTCTGCATAATCACGTAGCTTTTATTCAGCCTTTCACTGTTTGTAATTCATCGCCAGCTCTTTATTAAATCCATGGTGGTCTCCAGTGAATTGCAAGCAGGAATGAGAAATTAGTCATTACTGTAATTTAATGATTTCTAACCAAACAAGACGCAACTTGGATTGCTAACCATCGCAACCCTCCTAATTCCTCTCCGCACTCCCACGGGTTTGATCTTTGGGAACAAGCCTTCTACATTTTTCCCTAATTAATTGCATTTAGTATAAGAAACCTTCTAGTGAAGGTTCTGTTTCAATTACAGGTGGAGATTGACTCACAAAATATTCAACCTATCGTACAATGTGTTTGGCGTTCAGACACTCTTACAAATGATCGAAACATTATTTGTTTTCACAAGGTTAATCTTTGTTTTTGTAATAGAAACATAAAATGTGCTCTGTCTTTTGCACTAAATATGATTTGATTACCTTCATCTTGTAGTCATAATGACAGCTACAGTGGACATTTACATTTTAGAAATGCAATTCTCACACATATTCAAGAGGAGGCCCACTCCTTATATACTATGAATTTATGTCCCTGAGGTGAAAGTAATGTATAAATAAATCCCCACTCTGCTTCCTGCCTTATAACCTGTTTGGCTTCTGCAGAGAAGGGAATAGAGCTTCACGTTGATATCAGTAATAATAGTAACCACATTATATGTTTAAAAATGGACGGACATTTTCTTTGCCCTTGGATCCGAGTGATTCGGCTGGCTGGCAAGGCCACCGGGGCTTAATAATCCTCTTCTATTCATCCATTATCTTCCATTCTCCTATCACCATGCCCAGCCCACCTCCATCATAAGGTTTATTTCTTTTGGTGTCACAGTCAGTGTCTTAGGAAATAGGAAATCATTTAAATTTTAAAAAGAAAATGGCAAAGGCAAAAAAGACTTTGGATAACGTCCTATCGTGTAAAATCAACCCATTAGAAATGTTTTATTTTACGAACTCCCCATTCACACACACACATAGCTTACTGGCTCAGATTTTATGGTGGGCAGAATGTTGAGTTTGTTCATTTGAGCAAAATTAATTGGTATTCTTTCATTCTTTTGTACGAGTCCAATTTTCGGATTACTTTATTTTCATATTGAGATCAATTCTTATTGTCTGAAAACTCTCCTTCATGCTTCTTTTATTTATTTAAAAAAAATTGCTTGATGTGCTTATTTTTTACAGCAGTAAAACAGAAAAATAACGTCTCAGTTTTTCTCAACAGCAATATTCATTTAGATAGATTTATTGATATAATATTGACATTTGAAATTAATATTCACCAGGCTTTGAAAACAACAGATACCATTTATACCGTGTTGGCAAAACTCATCTATGTTGACTGATGGTGACTTTTAGTCACATATTACCCTTTTGGGGGTGGAATTTATTATTTGAAGAGGGTCTGTTGTCTTTGAAAAGAGGACTTGGCATACTAATCAACATAATACAATAAAAGCTAGACGCATCTGAATCAACAAAAGAAGCATTAAAGATATCTGTTTCATAAGGCTTAAAGAAATGAAAATGCTTATAATCTCACAAGATCTTCCACACAGATCTGCATCAAGAGTCCCTCGGCTCGTCATGGCAAGAGTATGACACAGAAGTTTCACAACACATAACTTTGTTTGTTTGTAGAGTGATTTTTTCCCCTCTTCCATCACTGAAGTTTTTAAGTCAATAAATATCATCATGGTTGAGTTTTCTGGTCCATAAGAATAGAACTATAATACAAAGAGTTTTGGTGCGCTGCAGAGCTCAAAGAGAGCTATTGTTGATGCTAATTCAAAAATCAGGATTTTGTTTGGCAATGATGCTTCCTGGTTCTTTTCCTTCTTTAGTTCACTGAAAAGTCCATGACTGTTGCCCATTTTGGTCCATTTTATTTCTGCCTCTTCTTAAACCATATTGTATCCAAAATGTCCAATATGTTCAAAGAAACGTCTGGTTCCAAATATGGTTTTCCTGGAAACACACGACTATCGTGTCACCTGAAACAAAAGAGAGAGAGAGAGACAAGTTAGGTTGTGATTTGAGAGTTGGGGTTTCTAATTTACTTAGTTTTTGGAGTTGAAGTTTAGCTCTGCAGCTTCTTGTTGGCAGAATACTTTTGTTCCATCTTTCCAACAACTTCATGTCAGAATCACAGAAAATTAAAACTCTGAATCCAATTTTGTTCCCCAAGTTTCCAAGTTTGTTTTTTTCCTTCTTGTTGTTGTGTTATTTGTGTTTTTTATTTAATTTAATTTGTTACCGTATTTTTCGCACTATACAGGATTACAAGGCGCAATATCAATGAACAGGTCTGCTTTCATACTTAAGGTGCACCAGATTATAAGGCGCATTAAACAAAACAATCAGATAAGTCAAACTTTATTCAACTCATTCACAATTACCACATAAAACCAATTTGAGGTCAGTAAGCACAACCAGAATTAATACATAAGGTGCACTAGATTATAAGGTTTACTGGTGATTTTTGCGAAAATTAAAGGATTTTAAGTGTGCCTTATAATCTGAAAAATATGGTATTTGTTTAAGGTCCAGTACACATTAAAAAAAAACTTAACTGAACTAGATGTATCCATAAGGGCCACTTTTCATGTGCAACCCCACATAAGTTAATGGCAAAACACATAAAAAAGGAATAATGTAAAACTAAATTTGCAAACAAAAGTTAACACACATGCACAAGTATGATCACACAAGTACATTGAAATAAAAATTGAAAATAAGAGAGTTAAGGGAAACTAAACACATGCACAGGTTATTAGTGATAGGTTTTGGTATTGTTTATATAAAAGATGTGAGGGCTGTGATCAAACCTTGTGTTTTTTTGTAACATTGAGCAACTTGATATTTATAATTATAATAATCTTCGCTTCATTTCTGGACTAATGCTCAGGGTTAGGTTGACAGAGTATAATGTACAACTAGAAGCTGCTCAGAGTTTAAAAAATGGATTCTTTATGCTGCACCGGAGCATAACGTTCTAATTGGCTTCCCTGTGAAGCTTTCTGCAGGTTCAGAATATTCTTAAAAGTCAACCATTTGCATAGTTTTAGCAGAAACGAGACCCGATTATGAGACAACTTTAGGATGCATCTGAAATTTGCCAATGCACTTGTGATTTAATTGCACTGACTCTCTAAAGAAACCTTATCCATCTTTTGAACTGCTATGACATCTCAGCTAGAGCACAAAGCAGCAGTGTCTGGTGAAATCCATGGGTATATACAATGTGTATTCTTTGAAATCCTCAACATTTACTCAGCACACTAGCTGTTTTATTTGGGCTGCATAAAATAAATCATGAAAGGTGGTCATGCTGTGGGATAACTTTATTCTCGAAGCATTAGCTGCTCCTTTGTTTTCTTGTTAGGTATATACTTTGTTTGAAACAAAGATATCCTTAGCAGTCTCCAGCATACTGTCTGTTACAAACCAATAACCTCATAATGTTATACAGATACCATCAGATTTACATACACTTACTCGTTCACTTATACATGCGCTGTTATTTAGCATTGTAGGAATTTAAGCACGATATCAGTTTCTGTCAAAAGTACAATGTGTTCAAGGTGTGCACAGACTCAGATGTTTCATGTTTTTCAGACATCTGTATATAGTAAAAGCCAGTAGATAAGACACCTATAATAATTTCATTGTGTTTCATGCAAAAACAATATTGTTATTTGGAATGACATACTGTTAGCAGGCATTTTGACAAATGCTTTTTTGAAATAAAAAAAATGCATGTTTTACTCTTATTTTGAAATTGTATATAAATTATTTTCAGTGTTGCCTTGAGATATAGAAGCTTAAAGCATACCCCCCCCCCCCCCCCCCCACACACACACACACACAGGTAGAACAGGTGGTCTTGTGTGAATATATGCAATGTTTGAGGGATTTCACCAGTTGAATCAGCATGACATTACCACAAGCAATCAGTATTCTGAGTAATACATTTCTAAAAATTCAATGTGTGTGTATGTGTGTGTGCGTTGTTTACAGCAGCAGCTGATGACACTGTGCTCGCTGTTTGGGGAGCCACAATTTAATTTTCACTTCCATGTGACAATCCTTGGGCTTCATGGTGTGACAGAGGATATGGAAATGAGTCAGCCGCCTAACAGTGGTAGAATCAAGTTGTAGTAAAAGAAATTATGAACACGGCAAATTTTGTGATACTGGGGATCAGATTGTTGAAGCAGCTATTGTTTTGTTAGTTTTTATTAATATCATGCATTTCTTGATCTTTATAGTATTATAACATATTTTCTAACCTTGAAGCCAAAGGGCTGCCTGATGGTTCCCCTTTGTGTTAGTTTAAACTGTGAAATGAACGTTTTTTTCTTTGTTTTGTTTTTTTTATAGGAACTTCAGTGTTAACAGCTGAAGATAGACAGATCAGAGCATGTTTGTAACTTTAGAGTTTTAAATAGGGGTTTCAAGAAAAATAACATTGAATAAATAAATAAAAATAAATGAATACAATTTTTAAAAATAATTAAAAAAATAATAGGAAATCACCGCATAGTGTTCGCTTGCAGTGGTGCTGAGAGGTACGGGCGAGTAAACACAAAGAAGAATTTAAGCAAAAGGTTGGGGTTTAAATCTTAAAGTGCTTCTGGATTAAATGGCTCAACTGCACGCTTAAAGCCCAAATGACAAAGAAACAAAACCCTTGTCTTTGTAAATGTGATATTTGTGATGATATATATAAAAAGGCTAATTACCTTTGAATGGCCAAGGATGGGTGAACTATTTATGTTGAACTCTCTTTAAGAATTTGTGCAGGTTTGGTATGAACTGTACTTATAACTCAGCAACCATTTAATGGACTAAATAAACCAATAATGAGTCCTTAAAAACATTGTATTTCATATTTTTTGAATAATAGAGTTTTAACAAGTGCAAGTCATATTTTTATCACCTATTGAAAATAAATCTCTCTTGGACACCTATCCATCTTTGATTTCAACACAGTCTCTACAAGCTTCATAGCACCTGTCAAATGGGAAGGATGTGTGGTTCTTTTGCCCTCTGTCCTTTGATTGATAGAAAGTGAACAGCAGGAGAACCTGGTGTCATAATTCTTGACTTTACCAGCAGGACTATAAAACCAGGTACTCCAAGAAAATATATGGAAACAGGCTTTTGCAGTGGTGGAGCATTAGGATGCTAAGAACAGATTTATTGATGCAAGATCATGATAAGGTAAAACCATAACTTAATGTTTTTTTTAATTATATAATGCCCAACTACACACAAAATAAATTATCTACTGCATAAATATTGTATTTTAAAAAACAGAACACTTTGTTGGTATGGTAACGATTTGTCTGGGGATGCAACCAGTTTACCGTTAAAAATGTGTGTGTATATATATATATATATATATATATATATATATATATATATATTTATATAGCCGTATATATATATAAGACCCTTTTTGCTTTTAACATGTTTTTCTGCAACTTTGACAAGCAAGTATTATTCAAACTAGTACCTGATAGATAGCTTCTTGAAGGGCCACATACATTTGCATGTTTACATTTTTTTGTGTTTGTTTTGCTCGACATCAGGTTTTGAGATTACATCTACTGGAATATGAGGCTCTCTCACAGAAGGAGCCGCTGCTCCAGCAGTACACTGGAGGCCCATGAGCTTCTTACTCAGACAGCCCTTCTGTTCATTTCCCAGAAGGAAGTTAAGTGTCCGGGAAGTTCGAGTACAGAGCCCTCTAGCAAATACTAGCCATCCCTTGCTGACTCTCTGTGGGAGGCAGTCAGGCCATGAGCATGGAGTGACCCCCGCTGACTCTAATCAATAAAAGAGTCAAGGTTCTTACAGGTTCTACTAGCCACCTGGACCCCTGCTCATCTGTGCCTCTGTTTCTGCTTTCCCGTGGCTGTAAGAGAGGGCATGAATTATTAACCTGGCTAAAATAAAAAGTGCTGCTTCATCCAGGCCTCCTGTAGCCATGAATAATGGAAGTAGCAGCTCAACTACAGGCATTTGGTCAAAGAGTGGACTATGATGGATGGGAAAGGGTCTAGTCTCTTGTCCCCCCCATCCCCTCACCTATCATCCGCTTCCAGTCTAGCAAACCCTGGATCCCAAAACAACTTGAAATTTCTTGGCAGATTGGACTAAGACAAAGGATATTGCACAAATAAATGCATTTTTAATTACTATATAAATTAATTTGACACTGTGATATTGTGTATTCATCCCTATATTTTATTCTGTTACCGTTAAAATCGGACAAAGTATTAGACTGCATTGATTTATTAAGCACAGATATATTTTTTAGGTAAATTTAACTTTCTAAGAAGTGACAAAGTTTATCAGTTCAGAATAGCAAGGTTGAAAAACAGATTTTTTTTTTTTGCCTTTTAAATATAGTTTTCATACTTTAGCTTTGTGGATTTATTGCATTCTGCTTAGAGTTGCATTTGGACCTAAAGCATTCGACCCGGCCTGGCCCTAGCCCATAGGCATTTTGTCCGAGCCCGACCCGACACATTAACTGTAACTTAGGGCCCGAACCTGAAAAAAAAAAAACACATTTGTTTAAAATTAATCTTTTACTGCTTAATTTTTAAGCAAATCTGTTTGGCATGATAGTTTTAAAAATGCATTTCAAAGAAAGGAAGATATAATAATTTTTGTTTATTAACAAGTCACCAAATGGATATAATAATAAAATAATAACAATAACTTTTATTTATAACACACATTACATTCACAACAGATCTCAAAGTGATAATATTAACATACAAAACAAATAGCTTAAAAATCAGCTCTAAAGATAGGCTATGATACAGATGAACACAAAAAAAAAAATTGAGCAAAATTATTTGGAAAAATGTAGAACAAGGCTATTTTAATTGAACAAGCTGCTCGCTTTGACTTATAAATCAGGTGCTGGTACTTCCTTCACCGCAGATAAGAACAGGGTGTTGAGCGGGATGCACGCAGCTGATGATCCGGTGATCCATCCAGCTGGTCAACGGGTGTGCACGGCTGATGATCCGGTTGTCCATCTGAAGCTTAATGGGACTTTTTTTTTAACCACTTCCAACCAGCCGGTCAGACCTGAGTGTGCACATAACATCAGCAAGTTCCACTGTTCTGACTTTGTAGAGTGAGTTCTCCCATTTTTAGCTTTTATTAATACTTTCCAACTGCATTATGTCGCTTGTGATAAGAGCAAAAGGTGGGCGGGGCCATATGCGCAATTGTTGCGCAATGCACCAGTGCCACTCTCTCTTTTCACAGTCTGATTAACTTTTGCACTCTATTTCATTTCTTTCCTCATCAGTAAACTTACTGCCTCCTCCTCTACAAGTAGATTAACACAGTTTTATATTGTGCATTCTTATTTAGTTTTCTTTGTGCTGTATGATTCGTAAAACCGCATCAAGAGACCGACCTGGCCAACACATCAAGCACATAATTTTGGCCCGATCTGGCCAGAATTTCGGGTCGGGTCGGGCTAAGTTTAGAAATCGCAACTCTAATTCTGTTTGAGAACTGTTTCACCAAAATGTCCTACTCTACTTCAATTCCTGACATTCTGACCTTCGTGACTCAACAAAATCAACAGGTTGAGTAAAAACAATAAAGCATCAACTTCAACAAACTGAAGCTAAAGCTGAATGGATAGTTGCAATTTGTTAATGCAAGTCAACCAGATCAAAACACACTTTTCCTTCAACTATTTTACACTACCCTATTAATAAATCTGGGGTCAAACTTTCTAAGTGCTTTTAATATAGGCCATGACATTGTAGGTATTTTGTTTGTACCATTTAGTAAATTGTGCAAATCATTAACACTGAGTTAGATGTTTTAAGAGTTGTGATTTTTTTTTTACTAACCTGTCAGAATAAATATAATTTGTAAATTCAACATACCTTAGTTGTCTTAACTTTGTTCCCTGTACTGCAGCTCCATCCTTTGAGATCTGGCAGAACTTTACATTCTTCTCCATCCATGCAGGGATGCATTTGGCACCACCACTTCTGCGCAACTATTGAAGCTGAGAGGAAAGCACAAGATGAGAGAGCACAAAAAACAGCACACTGAAAGCAACTAACAATATGCTGTTAAAAAATAATAAAAAATTTAAAAAAGCAAAGCTCTGTTCTGCATTAGTTTGAGGAATAAAATAGACCTTTTGGACTGCATTTGACACAGTGATTGAATAGAGCATCTTGATCTATGGCAACCAAGGATGTCTGTCAGTCCTATTTGTTTTCAGGGCTGAATTACAAAGATTGGGTCAATGTCTAAATGGTGAATGTTGAAGGCAGGTGTGTTGAGTGAGGGAATGGTGGTTGTATGAACTGTAGGAGGAGTGAGGAGACATGCAGTCAAGGCCTTAAGCTGTTTTTGAAGAAGCCTACAGGGGAGAAACACTTTCTCATGACATTTCTAAAGTGAGGAGAAAACTGTCAAAACCTAACACTTTTCAGTGCCGTTACTGAAAACAGGAGATGAGGATCGATTCACCTGTAACCGAGGACATTGCTGACATGATATCATATGACCTAACCATGTGTCTGCTCTGCTGAACATGTCTGATGTCACTCAAAGAGCCTTGGCGAATGAACTGGAAGGTGATTTTGAGGTGGGTGAAGACTCACACAACAGAAAAATCCCCAAAACATCTGTATTTTTTCTTCTTTCATAAAATAAAACCTCAATACACAAACAGCAGGTGAAATAAGCACACTGACAGGTATGGCAGTTTCACATTATGTCACACATTTTGAATCTGAAGTCGATTTTCAAGTCATTACCAAACTATAATGAGAAGTCTGGCATACCGTCTACACAAGATGGAGCTGCTCTCGTTGTTCCCGCCACCTGTCCAGGGAAGCAGGAGCATTTGACAGTCTGGGATCTCTCTTCGATTTTGTTCTTGTTGCAGCATCGGTGTGCGGCAATTACCTCGCAGGTTCCTGCTTTCACATGAACTGGAAGCAAAAACACAGACAATGGTTTGAAAGAATGTGACAGCCTTTAGTAACACTTTCTGAAGGTTTCCCAACACTGTGACACACAGTAACTATGAATAACAAGATTCCAAAACTCTGTGGTTTGTCTCTCATGGTTTGTTTTGTACAAATTCAAGTTTGTATTTTATTTAAAAAAAAAATAAATAAAAAAAAAATAAAAAATAAATAAAAAAAATAAAAAAAATATTTATATATATATATATATATATACACAGTATATATAAAGTGGTATGGTATGGTATGGTAAACTTTTGAAGAAGTAAACCATTAGTTCTTCCAGTTCCACTGTAAAAGTTTCGAGGCACTCACTGCAAAATATAAATCAAACATAAAGAGATCTTCCTATGCAATATCAAATGGTGTAGTTTAAAAGTCTAATATTTTGCCCCATTTTTTTTTCTTTTGGCTGCTCCTTTGCTCATGGGTCACCACAGTGAAATAACTGGAAAGAATTGTTTTTATGCCAGATGCCCTTCCAGACGCAACCACAGACCACCGAGCTACCACAGCTGTCTGTGTGGAGCAGAGAGCTATCCTCTAGGGCACCTTGGGGAGCAGATGGTGGGGTTAAGGGACTTGCTCAAGGACCCAAAGTGGGGCAAATGAGGGTGGAGGCAGGTGGGAGTGTTTCACCCTTCCCACTCATATTTTGATGTTGTTAGGGGAGATGAACTGTCGATCTTCAAATGGCAGGCTCGCCTTATCTAACCTCTGCACCACCACTTCCCCATTAATGTGAAATTCAAAAATAAATAAATATCCCAGTGACAATCTCCAGCCCAGCTCCTACTGGGGGACCCCAATGAGTTCCCAAGCTAGAGGAAAAACAGAATCCCTGCAGTGAGTTTAGGGAATATGCTTAGTAGAACGTGCCCGGAAAACCTCCAAAAAGAGCCATCCTAATGAGATGTCTGGATTACTTCAAATGACTCCCCCCAACTAACGGAGATCGTCACCCTATCTTTAGGGCTGAGCTCGGCCACCTTAATTGAAGCTCATTTCAGTCATACCTCAATCCTACCTTATGACTATAGGTAAGGGTAGGAATTTAGATAAACCAGTAAATATGAGAGTTTTGCCTTTCAGCTCAACTCTTTCTTCAACACAAGTGACCAAAACAACACCGTCATTGCTGAGGACAAAGCTCTGAACCATCTATCCATGTCCACCTCCATCTGACCATCACTCATGAACAAGATACTCAGACACTTAAACTGCTCCATCCACACCAACCACCCCAGAGCGCACTGAAGATTATGGTCCAAAGACACCAATGGAACCACATCAACAGCATAAAGCAGAGATGAGATCCAGAGGTTCCAAAACCAAACACCCTCCTCTTCATGACTGGCCCTTGATATCTTGCCCATGAACACCAAAAACAGGATCCAACAATAACCATTAATATGCGAAAAATATTGCGCATTTTGTTTCTTACTTTTTTTTTGTAACAATCTTCAATACTTGGCATTGGTTACACTTGAGTGATAATCTCTAAACTCGGGGTGGGAAACAAACACATACTCTCCCTAAAAATGTACCTCTCATAATGAATCTCTAACATTCTGCTTCCTTTTATTTTGAACATCCAATCACAACAGCAGTTTAAAATCCAGGACACCCCCCATGTGGAGGAACCCTGCTTTAAACCACAGTGCAACCTTGTCTGTTCATATATCCTTGACCAACATATTAAATCCACAAATTCTACACTCGCAACAAAAGACAAAAAGAGAAGGTTACAGTGTGGTTTTGTCTGTCTAACCCATGTGGATACATTGAGAAACTAATTCATCATTAGAAAGTCAATCATAACAGAAAAAACTGATTTCTACTATTTATTCATTGCTTAAAACACTGACAATCTTGAGCAAGTGTGTGTTTAAACATAAAAAAACAATGCCTAAGAGGGTGGGGGGAAATAAATAAGCAAAAGTTTTGACATTGCTTTCAGTTAATCCTTAATTATGCGTGTAAAGATTTTCAATTTGGAACTTGACTTGAAAATAGATTGCAGCGAGCTTCCATCTTCCCATTAGCTGCCAATCCAGAAATCTCATCTACAACATTAAAAACATTTTGCTCTCAATCAATAAGGTGCTATTCACATTCCCACTGAAGGCAAGACAACAATTGCCGACTGAGTGCTTTTCAATGAGCAGTAACTTACTGATGCAAAAACGGGTCAGGCTTTGTGCTCTTGATCTGATTATCTTTAAAGGCACCAGCCCGCCCCTTTGTCAAAGTTACTTTCAAAAGTTGGTAAAGCTCCAAGAGAATATTCAAACTTTGTTTAAGAGACACGTGCACATGGACAAAAAGGCAATTACAAGAAGTGCAATGGATGATAATATTTGATCGCTGTGTGCAGAAAGTGCTTCCAGATTTTAGGATGAAAGTCTTACAAATCTCCAATAAAGATAGTTCACACTGAATTCATGATGAAATTAAAGGTGAAGCATTCCTTAAAGGGATCTTTTTTTTTTTTTTGCGTGATGCTTTTAGTGCTAGAGTTTTAAACTTAAATGTAAATTAAATTAATTTCATGCTGAGAAGCACAGTTGTTTAGGTTTTGGACAAAACTTTGAAATCACACACACTATTTGATAGCACTTCAAAAATTAGATGAGGATTAATTTTAGTTACTATCAAACCAAATACACCTCAAAATTTTCTAAATCGACTGAGTAATAGTAATTTCCAGATGGAAAGGTCAATTACCTGTCGTACCCATCTTTAATTAGATTGACTTCAAAAGTTGGTCAGGTATAGATGTACATCCAGTGACTCCTTTTGAAAAGTCCTATTAAAAATCCTTCCTGTGGTTCATGAGATATTTTGCTAACAGACAGATTGGTTGATGCAAACGGTAAACACAAAAGTTTATGCAAAAATACTGTGCAGTGCATTGCTCGTAAATCATGTGTTGGTGATAATGCTCAGTCTGTTCGACCAAATCCACCCATTCATCCATGATCTTGTACCCGATTCTTCCTTTTCGGGTCACGGTAGATTGTTGCATTCTGACCCAAAACTTCCGACCTGACACAGCCCCAGCCCGTAGCCATCATTTCCAAACCCCACCCGACCCGACAAATCAACAGTAATTACAGGTCCGAACCCAAAAAAACTGACATTTTTTTATTAAGCTCTGATTGCTTATATAGTTATTAACGGTCAGCAGATGCACGTGGCTGAGAAAAGGGGCAGAAAATTGGAGCCGAGGGGGTGTTTGTCCTTTCATGGCCACCAAAGTGCATTAAATCCCTGCTTCTGCTGCATTATTCCGACATGGACCCTGCTCTGACATGTCTGCTTAGGGATCTCACCTGTTTGGGTCATCGGCCACACGCGTCCGCTGAGTGCAGCAGCTGAATGAACGTCCATTTGGGTGATGGATCGCTTCCTGGCAGTATAGTCCCATCTGAAGCTTAACTGAACTCTTTTTTTTTTAATACCTCTTTCAAGGCCGGTCAGCACGCGGTCAAATGACCGTGTGTGGTTGGTGATTGTATGGCAAGCCACGTTGCCATATAATTGGATCGTCTACCGTGCGCGTCTGCTGATGCAATCAAAAGCCTGACACCGACCCGGCCCGCCCATCCAGCACATTATTATGGCCCGACCTAGCGCAAATTTGGGTCGAACTTTGGGCCCGGTTTAGAAAGGACAGCTCTAGGTCACGGGGATCACTGGTGCTCATATCCAGCAGTCACTGTGCGAGAGGCAGGGGACACCCTGGACAGGTCTTAAGTCCTCCAGACCAAATTAAAGCTCAGATTCTCTAAAAAAAATACATTTACGTTTTTAAGGTTAGCTGACTTGGGTATACATCTTAATTTAGTTTGAATTAGTGAATTGTAAAACCAGAGATCGTTTTTTGTGAAAGTATCTTAAAACCAAACCATTGTGTCATGGGTTACTTTGCTAACAGTAGACACACACACACACAGTCACAATATACCCTTTGCACCTTTGGCAACAAGTGACAGAAAACAAAAATAAAATAAAAAAACCAGCATCGTGTTGCAGTTTCAATTCTATCAGATCTAGTTTTATTGACTTGAATGACATCGTACGTCATGGAGTTTTTTTGTTTTTTGCTGCTTGTACACCAACTGTGTGTGACATATGAAGCAGGAGGGAAAGCTCCCACCCTGTGTGTCAGGTTTGGGTGTTGGAAGTGGCTGTTCGGGGCTGCACGAATGGATAAAACTGCTGATTAAAACTGAGGCTGTTGGCCAAGGTCAGTGACTCTGAGTGTGGACTCAGAACCACCACGCAGTGTGGAGAGAAGGAGATGTCAGAGGGCAAGGTGTGGAGCTCAGCCCCGTGTGCCCAATGAACAGAAACAAGTATAAACCAGTTAACTGTTTGTTGGGATGAGGTCTATTTGGCAATAAATCCCATACCATACCAATATATTTCTAAAGCACTTAAAATACAACAAGCAGCCGTCCGAAGTGCTGTACAAAATTAAAAACAAACAAAAACAGTAAAACAATAAAAACACCTAAATATTAAAAGCCAATGAAAAAAAAAACGTGTTTTTAAACGAGTTTTAAAATCAGAAAGTGATGGGGCCTGCATGACCTCCAGCGGCAGCTCATTCCACAATTTAGGAGCCAGAGCTGAAAAGGCTCTTTCTCCTCTGGATTTCCAGAATCCAGTGCTAAAAATATATAATTAAAAACCCTTAAAAGAGCAGATTCAGTGCTGTGGTACATTTTAAAACTAGACTGGAAGACCTCCACATTTTTTTAATTCATCCAAAAAGGCCTTCAGCTGTGTGTAAACAACTTTTTCCAAAATTTTGGATATAAATGGTAACTTGGAGATTGGCCTAAAGTTTCACAAAGAGGATGGATCAAGGCCAGGTTTTTTCAACAATGGATGCACCACAGTATGTCTAAAATTGCTTGGTACCACACTAGACATCAAACTGCTGTTGATCACTT